TACAAGGGTTCTTATTGTATCTAAAAGGCGAGAATGACTGAAAGAGGAGTTTTTGATGGGTAGGGGTGTTCTTTGTTCGAGGATATCCCTCATTCAGGATGCATCCTCAACAGTGGTACAATAAGGGCGAATGGTTGGAGTGAGGACTCGAGATGAAACAAATGACATTTCTGGATCAGAACCATCAAACGGAAAAACGGGAACATATTGATTCGCCATGGAAATAAAATTTTGAAAGAGAAGTGAGTTTCGCGATGAGGAAGACGATGAAGATTTAATGAAACGAGGAAGAAGACACTTTCTGGCGGTGGAAAAGGGTTTTTAAAACCCCTGTGATTTAACTGAAACAGTGTAATGATTACACTATTCTGTTGCAGAGCCCAAACCGTCACTTCTTGCGCCGATCAAGAGTGACGTTTGTAGTTTCAGAGGAATAGCAGGCAAGTTATTGAGTAAAAAATAAGATTAAAATTTTGAGTCTAGGAAACATAAATAGATGGACCCACTGGTGGGCCAGATCTATTCAGATGGGGATGGTTTTTCAGCTCAACCAAATGAATGGTTAGCCCTTCGTAACAGTAACCAACGAGGAAGCACTTTTGGACAGTTAAGTTCGGTTACCGATGATGAAGTAGTTTTGTATATATATATTAATATATCTCAACTTTCGAATTATATTTCAAAACTTATATTATATGAATATGAATATATACATTTAAATAATTAAATATTATGAATATACATAATTTAAAACAAAAAGGAAGTCGCTGACCGAATTGTTTGGAAGGAGGAAACAACTAAAGAACAATCAACCAATTTCAAAATAATTTTTGATATGAAAATTTTCCCTGCTACACCTTTTTTTTATACATATTATTTTTTTTTTATATTCTTATACTTTTCTTTTAAAAGTAAATTACAAATATAAAAATATATCAATATATATATCATTTTATAGACAATAAATTTTGTAATAATAGAGAAAAAGAAAAATTCAAAAAAAATTATAATATAAAGAACTATTTAAAAACAGAAAATTAGAAGTTTAGAAATTGGTTGCCTACACATCTACCAAAGAAAAATATATTTACATATTCCCTTCTTTACGTCGGTTAACTTCGAGCCGTCCAAATAACGCTGACAATGCGGTAGCCGATCCCAAACGTTCAAAAATCAGTTCAAAAAAAAAAAGACAATTAGTGTTTACCCAATATTTTTTATTATGGTAGAATATTTTTTTTCTAATTTTGTATTTTTTATTTCATGAAAGAAAAAATAATATAAATATATTTTAGGGAGAAAAAAAAAAAGTTGACCGACTAGTCTTATGAAATAGGAAGAGAATAAGAGAAAAAGAGAAAAAATAATATAAATATATTTAAGGGAGAAAGGAAAAGAAACTATAGACCGAATTAGTCTTATGAGAGAGAAAAAAAAATGAAAGAAAAGATAATATAAATATATTTTAGGGACAAAAAGAGAAAAAAAAAAAAACATTCAACCGAATTAGTCTTATGAAAGATGTACAAAATAAGATAAAGAGAGAAAAGTAATTGTAAATGAGTTTTTTTTTCTATATTATTAAAAAGATTATTCTATACAAAATGATAGATATTAATATATTTTAAATTTTTAAATAAATTTTAAAAATTACATTATATAAATATGAATTTATAAATTTATATAAATAAACCCTTATTCCAATTTTATTCTAATTATAGGCAACAACGTCGCGTAAAATGATATGGTTCTTGAGAGAGAGAATGAGAGAATAGGGAAGAAAGAAAATGAAAAAGAAAAAAAAAATATATGACCGAAATGGTCGGATGGAAAGAGAAGAACCGTCCAATTGGTTGAGATAGAAAGAGGAGAGAAAATGGCTGAATTGGTCGGATGGAAAGAGGAGAACCGTCTAGTCGGTTGGGTAAAAGAAATATAATAAATTAATAAATATATCTTTTCTATAACTGTGCAACCAACCAATTAAAAAAATTATTTTTCTTTTTCCAAAATATCTTTTTATATTATGCGTTTCTTTAGTTAATTCTTTTTCTATATTATTAAAAAAGTATTCTATACAAAATGATATATATTGATATATTTCAAATTTCTAATTAAATTTTAAAATTTTTATTATATGAATATATGAATATATAAATTTAAATAAATAAATAATATAAATATAGATATTTTGAAATAAATATGAGGCAAACCGAGTTCGCCTAGTGTTGGCTCTTTCCGGGCGACTGCCGTCCAGGGTAATCCACTTCTTTTTTTGTTTCAAAATATCTATATTCATATTATTTATTTATTTAAAGTTATATATGTATATTCATATAATGTAATTTGTAAAATTTAATTTGAAATTTAAAACATATAAATATATATATCATTTTGTACACAATAATTTAACACAAATTAAAAAATATTCATAGTTTTTTAGAATTTAATTATTAGGATCTCTTATCTTTTTAATCAATCAAAATTATCTTTATGGCTACACTACTATTGCTTGTTTCAATTGATAAAGTAAAACCCGTAATCCATGTATTACCTGTATCTATTTTTTACATACACCATAGAATGTGGAGAATATGCAGCGATGGTGACCACATTATACCTTATATGAATATTTATTTAAGAGACTACTGTTCGATGCGATTACGACGATCACTCTATGAAATTCATTAAAAAAAAGGGAATAAATATATATATCCCCACAACATAAATATCCCTCTATCGGTGTCTATATGTATATATTTATATTTCATTCCTCTCATACCTTACTTTTCATTTAATGCCATTACTTGTACTATTACTTACCTTATAAGATTGTATCATACAAAATCTTCTACTACAGTGACCTATGACACATATATTTGCGTATTACCTAACAACAACTATAACAATCAGACAGTCAAGTTCTATAACATTGCATTACTTTGTACATTTCATATCCCACCAAATCCCTATATTACGCATATTGATCGATAATATTAAGACGTTTCCTATCACCCCAATTAAACAAAATAACAAAGAAATTACGAAACATAGGTAGTAATCAATCCAAAAGAACTTGAATATAAACAAAGTTCTCAATCTTTTTACACTACACTCTTTCTCCATAATTATATTTCTTTCAACATACACCCGCTGAATCTTATATCTCACTTACTTTTCCCTCAAAACAACTTTGATTTCTATAACTCCATTAAGAAATGGACGAACAAACACACCTTAGTTCGGTTGCTGATCTTTTGAAAAATCTCTCTGAATAGGTGATAGGGTAATACTACTAGAATGCTCCAATGAAAGAGTTTCTCCACGCACGAATACAGCTTACAAGAGATTCATATTTGTGGATGCAAAGGTTTCGTTTATTATGTCTCCATAGTTAGAATCTTCTCTATTCATAACAATCATTTTCTATAAAATAATGTCTCTGAATCACACATATAAAACAATGTCTCTGAATCACACAGAACACAATGTACGAACCTATACTTACCGTTGACAAAATTTCAAACGGAATTGCATACATAAATGCATTGTCGCCTGTATTCAGTAGACATTGACTTCCTCGAACCATTAAACAAATAAAATAAATTTTAGCTCAAAATCTATAACATATCTAAACTAATATATTGTATTTGTAAATCCATGGAACGAAGAACCTGGTATCACAAAGTTGGATTAATGTCTAACCTTATTTCACACGTATGACATATACGAAAATTATCTCAAGGCTTTTAGCACAACCCTGCCAAGATACAACTCAGAAGTTCAGATCATCCTCAACCAAAAGTCAAGTATAAACCCTGTTGTTGATCAACCATCCAATCTTCTTCTTGGGAAACCGGCGTTCGTCAGCTATCAAACTTACAACTTTTGTTGAATCAAAAGCTTTCCTCGGTAAATTATTAAGCATTCAACACTTGACAATAGAATCATTCTTAATTTTATCACCTTAAAAAAATATACCACTGCACACTTTATCTAACAATCAGCTATGAAATTTTGCTAACATTAAACTCAATTTTCACGTTACAAAGATGTCATAGGTGTAGCAATTGATGCCAGCCCCGTGAAAACCAGAGGAACCGGTAAACTACAAGAAATCACAATCATTACAAAGGAGTATTTACTATATTTTCATAAAACAACTGTTTTTACATTTCTTTAATTAATGCTAAAATACTAGCATTGTTGTTGTCTTTAGGAAAATGCCAACTCAATTGACGATTTGGAATGACCTCGTCGATGCAGAAGGCTCAAAAATCCTTTCACTTCTTCCACAAAGACCAATAATTGCAGCACTAAATATCAAAGCTTCATCTTTCAAAGGTACACCGCAATGACAATGTATATAAAAGCTTGAAGTTTCAAAATAAAATCAAATATTTTACAATGAATATAAAGACATCATATAAAGCCTACACTATTTGTTTACAATTATTACTAATGATTAGTCAACTATCTCAACATTATATATAAAGCATAGTAGAAGAAGCAAAAAGGTCAATACGTTCAAACTTCTTCTTATATTATAAACGATATAAATTTCTGTGAGTTTCCATTCAGGAATTTCATTGTCCTGCCATGTCTATAGCTAACATTCTGTTCAATCCTCCGTAACCAGAGAATATGGCACTTCAACAATGGTAAATTATCACAAATTACTACCAGAAAGAAACTTTGCTCTACTAAATTTACATACACACTTTACCCATAGGAAACTGGACCAAAAAAATTATCTAGTTGAGCTCGTTCAACTGAAACAGTCAGGAACACCTGCTCAACAACATTGGACACATGCATTGGCTTTAACTACAGTTGAAGAAATGCGCAATCACAGGTTAATTTCCTAATCTCTTTTGAACCGAATTATATCTCATACTACTGTCAACTTAATACATTGTAATAATTACACATACAATTGGTTGATCATAAGACACGAGGTTCATTTCAAATCCTATTGACAACAAACATAATGTCACACATCGACAAGAAACCCTCCACCACGTACATTCTATTAATTTAAGTGCTCGAGTGTCCAAACAAGCAAAAAAAGGTAGACAAATGCTTTATAAACATTTTACTTATATAATATAATCACACCTACTTTTACCTCTCAGATACATGTTAACGACAACGGTTGCAGACGACACAGCTTCCGCCAAATGTGTTGCGTACGAGAAAATTGTCAGCTTGCTTTTGAACTGTGACCTTGCCACCCTGAAAGACAAAACATAAAAGGTTATAAAACACAATTATATTAAACCATTTTTAAACAAATATTTGTGAGACTAATGCTATGTACATGACATGACCGCACTTTGTGAAAGGCGAAACAACGATGTTAAGAGTAGCAAGTTCATATTCACAATCAAGAAAAAAACATCTATGTACACAAGATTCAACACAGACAACTACACTATCAACAAAATTGAAGCATGGACTTCAAGTTACAACGTACAATCAATAAAAGATATATCATCTTGCGAATCATTTGTTTCAAGTTAACACATTAATCTAATACTCGGACTTTTCGCACATAGATATAGAAGATCTAACTGAAGAAATACCGGATACATCCAGCAGAAAGAATAACCAATCTTTAGGCCTCACTCCGTCGTTGTCAGAGATAAAAAACCTTAGCAACAACATTTCGACCCCAAAATTCCGGTTTTTACATCCTCCTAAACTACAACTATCAACTACTAAATCTATCTTTATAAACACAATTTATATTCCACTTCTCTATGATAGATGGAGTCCGCAAGAATCTATCGCCATTTCTATTGGATGATGACACTCCAGTGTTTCCCAAAAATAGAGGTAAACAAGCAGACGTTTTCACATCAACAAAGGAAACAAAGTTGACTGCGAAGAAATGACGATGCATGCCAACGTATGTTTCCGAACCGTGAATTTCTATTTTCTAAACAACAAATGCTTTCCTTTACTATCCCCAACGGACTTAATATAAGTAGTTACTATATTACGTTTGTAATTAACAATCCTCCACCTCCACCTCCACCACCAGCAGGGCCGCTGTCTGAAAAAAAATATTTGTCCGTTTCTGCTTTCTTGTAATCCTTATATTAATATATTTTTTGGTATCGTATTATCCCAAAAAATTATCACAACATTAAAAACACGACAAAAAAATATACAGTTACAATCTCACGCATCCACATATCTCTACATAATACTACAACACTTAAATCAGAGACATGCTTAATCCGTAAATCCATACCCTCAACTATTTCCCAATTTACATAATGCAGCGTAGAAGAAAATACATAATAGGAGCTTACGAAATTTTGCATATCAAGGCCGAGGCCACTGTCTACTGAACCCCATCGTAAACCTCTGATTATTGTTCGGGGACATGAACCGACCGAAAGACATACTTCCTCAGAGTCGCCGAAACCCGAAGTACCAACTGTGAAGCCACCGAACCCTTCCTCACAGTCGCCGAAACCCGAAGTACCAAATGTGAAGCCACCGAACCCATAAGAATCGTTCTACCTAAAAATTAAAATGTATTAATATTTTAGTTGATCAATCAGTAGGTGGTTTTCTATGCTCAAGACAGTGTCGTCTCCCGACCAATCACGCCAATCCAAAACCAAAGGCCGACCTTCGGGACACAAAAGTTCCGGCGTTTGAGGCAATAAATTATATAAATAAAATTTTTGTTAACTGTGCAAACAATAAAAAAAAAACCAATTTTTAATTTTTAAATATCTTTTTATATTATATTTTTTAAGTTAATTTTTTTCCTATGTTATTAAAATAATAATTTTCTACAAAATAATATGTATATTGAAATATTTTTTATTTGAAATTTACTTAAAAAATTAAATTCTATCAACATAAACGATTCTACCTACTAATTCCCAAAAACTCTCTTGAAATACCCACTATTTCCAACCGTTTCAATTATTCTCAAGAGGCTACCCAATTGAAACCATCGTTGTTTACAAATGCAGCAAGTACGACCTTGGTCGCTTACAATACTCAGAGGTCGTCCTAACATGCACATCTCAAATCGGCAAGTCAATTGTATGATAAACGAAATATGAACCAGCTTCCATTTAAGCTTTGACATCACGAAACAACCAACGACCCCACCCGACCATCGATTTAACAAATTAAAGGTTTAAGTCATTTTGCATCCAACATTGAAAGGGTAATACAATGCGCAAAATAAATAACATCATACCAACATTCAGTGTAAAGAACATTAGGAGATGTCATTTACATTTTTGAACAATGATATAGTCAAAATTACATGATCGGACAAGATAATCTGTATACCTATATATCATCACCAATTTTGGGGTTTATATACCAATATAAAATGAACTTATGCTCATAACAACCACCTTACCAACCACATTTCTTATAACATGTTTCGGTTCACCTACTAAACCAGTTCCCGCAACCTCTTTTCTATTTGGTACAACTTTAACTACACTTTCTATTCAGCCATACAATTACTTTGATACCTAATCCAGTTCCAATAAAATTGTGGAAACAAATTATTTTATTGCAAACTCATTCACCCAAACAATCATATAGATAACTTATAAAAACATACTTATATATTTTCCTTTTTCAAATACACAAATCCCTCAACTAGCGAATTCACCAATTAAATACCACAACACAATAAATACACCAATTCATTCAATAAAAAAAGCTCAACTACAACAAGAAGCCGCGCGGCGTAGCACGCTTTCACAAGCGCTAGTATATATATAACTTATAAAATTTATCTACTAACCTAATCAACGCCGCCGCCGTTCATTCTTCTAACCTAATCAGCCTCCACTCGTGTTATTGCTTTTGTGCACCTTTTTCTTTTTTCCACTTTGTGTCGATTGCACTAATTTCTTTTGGCGTCGATTGTTGCATTGATTTTTTCCCGTTCTTTACACTCCTCTACTGTTCCGGTAAGATTTAATTATTTTTATTTTCTAAATAAATAAATAAATATTAAATGGTAGGTTTCAATTCGAACCGACAGTTTACGGTTTTGAGAACAAAAGAATTGAAATTGAACTGTATAAAAATCAATTTTGGTTTAGTATTTGAAATAAAAAAAAAAAAAAAACCGACGTAGGTTTGAAACTGAGGGCAAATTTATTTACGATTCAATAAATATTGAAACCGAAATCAAACCATGAAAATTTTGATTTTGGTTTCATGTGGTTGATCAGTTTCATTTGTATTTACTGCACATGTTAATTTGTTTTGATATTTTATAATTTGTTAATTATATATTATATGTTTGTAAAATATCTTATGCCATATTCAATTCAATATTGTTATACTATTTACTACTCTCTCTGTCTCAAACACTCTGCAATATTTTTTTTTTTTTTTGTCCCAAACTCACTGCAACATTGCCAAATTTAGAAATAATGAATAATATTTATATACATATATTAATATATATTTCATTTTATCCTATCACATCACTCAAATAAAAAAATAAATAATCATTTCTCTCTCCAATCACATTACTGAATATTCAAATTATCTCAAATTACTATACTTAATACTTCCCACCTAAATTATCGTCTCAAATACAAATGTTGCACGGCGTTTGAGACGGAGGAAGTATAATTTTATGTGGTCTATTTAAGATAATAGGGGAATCAATGCAAATAATCCTGAGTTTATACATATAAATTATTTATTCTCTTGAAATTATAAGAAGAAGATATCTATTTTTATTTAATTACTTATTTATATGCAATGTATCTAGATATATGTTTATTAAAAAAAATTAAAGTATTAAATTATTTACGTATATATCTTAATAAACTATTTTTAGAACTCAGGGTTGAAGCTGCGACTCGAGGGTGGCGTGATAATAATGGTGTTTTTTCCAAAGGAACAGTGGAAGAAAGACTACTTCCTCTTCATAAAAAGACTTCAGTGTAATAAAATGTATAACAATTACCAAAGCCACCTCAAATGGTTAAAAACCGTTGGATATCCTATTCAAATCTTATGAAGTTTAGCTCTGGTTTTGGGTATGACAAAATTACTAAAAAGTTTACAACTTCAGATGAAGTATGAGATACGTACTTATGAGATAATAATATTATAGCATTAATTTATTTTATAATATAGTGAGTAAATATATATATATTGTTTATGCTAGGCTCACTCAAAAGATGTGTGCTTGGCGCTATGGGCAAATGTCCTGATTATGAGAATGGTATGTGCTATATTATATAAATATTTTGTTATATTTTTTGCGATTTTTTGGTGTGAATTTCGTATATAAGTATTATTTTCGGGTCGAGGTTTACCCAGTACATACTTTCGGGTAGCAGCTGCGGCTTCCCACGTGAGATATAAATGAAAGAAGATGCTAACTTATCTCGAAAAAATTATTTCACTCATATATCATCATCATCATCGTCTAATAACACAACTTTTGAATATCTTGAAAATTGATCATTTAGATTATGATGACATGAATAAAATTAAAATTATAATATTGGTGGATCTTGGTATGAACAACCTAAGGGGTGGAAAAAGCAAAACAAAAGAAGACAAATGAAGATAAAGATAATGTCCATATCACTCAAGTAAAATTGCAAAATTAATTGTTTACTTGTTTAGTGAAATAATTTGAAAAGCTTTTTGTCAAGCCATCGCCTGTACCAAGCCAAACAAAAGCTTTTTGTTTTTTATGTTTCTCAAAACAGGACATCGTGTTACATAATTTTTTTAAAAAGCCTGAGTGAATGAAGAAGGCTTGGAGAATACAACAACTGCACCTGCTCTAAGAGTAATTGCAGTGTCCCACACTTAAAAAAGCCTCCAAATAAAAGCAAATGCACACATGTCGAAGACTTTATTTCCAAGGAAGATTTAATTAAAGAATGGTCCAGCAGCTTATTTGTGGCCAACAAAATATTTTAAAAAAATCAAAGACCGTACCAGAGTTTTATTTCTTCCTCGAAAACCTTTATTCCCCCGCCTTAGAAAGAAAATTTCACCCTTGTTATTCTCTCCCGATTTGTCACTTTTCCGCCTCAATTTATCCGGGCAAACTCCGGACACGGAGAGTATCGAAAATTTTTGCTCCGTTTCACTCCCCCTGCTACTCGTTAGCAATCTTTGAAGATTTTATAGAAAGCACAAAGACACAATTAATTGTTCTCCCTCTAAACATTTTCAATCTCCCTTCGTTTTTGTTCGAAATTTTCAATTTAATCAAGGAATTTCATTCCTCATGCATATTTTGAATTGAAGAAATAATTTATGAAAATTTAAAAGAAATATTACCGAATTAGATGCCGGAGAAAAGCTTCTGTGGTTGCCAGAGAAGTAACCGGTCACCGTGAGAGAGAAATCGAGTTCACTCATAGTAGAGAGAACAAAAAAAATAAATATGGAAAGAACAAAGAGAAAAATAAAATTTATGTCCAGTTGTCCCCGATATCGCCTCGGCTGCACCAGGCAATATCCACCTATGAACAAAAATAATACCTCCAGCAGTAGGCCATTGTGGAATGAATTTTTATATTAGTAAAAGAAATAATAATAAAACCCCTCAAAACATTCATTCAAATTGGGTCAGGCCACTACACTTGCTTGAAGTGGTTCTGAAAATACTAAAAAAATAATAATAATAATCTTTGAATAGAAAAACATTTAATTTCTACCGCTTGAATGAAAAATGGTACTCTCTGGTTCGCCTTTTCTATTTTTATCTGTCTATATAATTTATTTATTTTTTTAAAATATAATTATACATTTTAATTATATTTTAAAATTTATAATTTTTTTTATTTTAATTAAACTATTTAATCATCTTAATTTTAATTTATAATTATTTTTATTAAATTATAATTATTTTAACTGATACATTTTTTAATTACTTACTAATTATATAATATTTAAAACTTCGTATCTAAATTAGATGAGACAAAATAACTAGGACGAAGGGAATAGCATTTAAAAAAATAACACTTAGGGGAAGAAAAATTATATAAATATAGGCTAAAACTTTATTTGTGATCCTACCGAACCTAATCAAAACCGCAAATCTTCAATTCTTTTCCAATATGTTATTTATGGAGATGAAAATACTAATATTCCATCATATTAAATTATGTTAATAATGTAACAATTTGTATTTGATCTATATACGTATTTTTTATGCAATAAACATTATTAGTTTAAATAATTTGTAACATATATTAATATATATTGTTGTCAAATTTAAATATATTTAAATTTAAATAAATATATATATATATATAAAATAAATACTTTTAATAAGGGAAAAAATCCATTTTGGTCCAAATATAATCAAAATTTATCAATTTTGGTTCAAATATAAAAAACTCATCAATTTTAGTCCTAATATAAACAATTCCAATCAATTTTGGTCTCATTATAAACAATTTCAATCAATTTTGGTCCCACCGTTAAAAAACTAACGGAAATTGCTGACGTGGACATAACGGAGGTAACGTGGCAGTTGACATAGAAAGTATACGGCCATATACAATTATACACGGCCATGTTGTTACATGACTATGTATATTTCAGTGTATAATTATACATGGTCATATTGTTACACGGTTATGTACAATTATACACGACCATGTTGTTACATGACCCTGTATATTTCAGTGTATAATTATACATGACCATGTTGTTACACGGCCATGTATAATTTACACAGCCGTGTACCTTTATGTTTCAGTCTAAAATTTTGTTTTTTTGTTATATTTTTTAAGTTTTTTTTTTTCTGAATTTAGAATAGTTGATATAATAAAAATGGAAAAAAAATTAATAATCATCATAATATAATTAAAATGTATCAATTTTAGTTCAAATATAAATATTTATGGAGTATGTTCTTTTTGAAGATTTTGTCTAAAATTTTACTATTTAGCAAAAAAAATTTCTCTTACAAACATACAATTACTGTATTGAAATAATAAATTATTTTTTAATACTACTATAATATACAAAATTAAAAATAGTTGTGTAATATGAATAATAAAATTTTAGACAAAATATTTCAAAAGAATATATCTTATAAATTTTTATGTTTGAATTAAAATTGATAAATTTTATTATATTATAATTATTATTGATTTTGTCCATTTTAACTATATCAACTATTTTAAATTCAAAATAATTTTTTTTAAAAAAATATATATATAACAAAAAAAGTATAATTATACACTGAAATATAACAACATGGCCGTGTATAATTGTATATGGCCGTGTACTTTCCAGATCAGCTGTCACGTCACTCTGTTATGTCCACGTCAGTAATTTCCGTTAGTTTTTTAACGGTGGGACCAAAATTGATTGAAATTGTTTATAATATAGGACCAAAATTGATTGAAATGGTTTATATTGGAATTAAAATTGATGAGTTTTTTATATTGGAACCAAAATTGATAAATTTTATTATATTGGGACCAAAATTTATTTTTTCCCTAATTGACATATAAACATCAATGTTATATATATAAATTTTTATGAAAGAAAAAATATGAAACAATCATTTTCAAAACAATAAAATTGCATATTATTTTTCAAAAAATAAAGTTACACTATAACATTCCGAAAATATCAAAATTGTAAAAACACCCAACTCTAAAAATAAAATTAAGCTACATTGTTACATTGTTACTCAATTAAGCTACATTGTTACTCAATTTTTAGTGTAACAGTTGGATAGGAGCCCACCTTTGTATTTTCAAGCCAATCCATTACATTTATACAATGGTTGAGTGGCTGTTCTTAAATTTTTTTCTAAAAATATCTTATGTAACACTTTTTTTTTTTTTTAATATCAAATATGTTATCTAACCATTATTCTCATAAAAACATTATAACGAGAAACACAAACAAATACTCTCTCCGTGCCACTAAAAATACCCATAAAAAATGTGGACGTAAATACAAAAATTTAGCTAAAATATAATTAGTAATAATAATTATTATATAATAAAAATAATTATAAATTAAAATTAAAATAACTAAATAATTTAATTATAATTGAAAAAATTCTAAATTATAAAATATAATTAAAATGTATAATTATATTTCCTAAAAAACAAATGACAAGTACCAATGAAAAAAAAAAATACACTTTATATTGGGAAGTAGGGAGTAGAACATAACCTTAAGTTTGCCTATCACCACCACCTACTTTGAACTCTTTACCAATGTTAGAGGTTAGCATTGAAATCACTATGGAATGGTAACCAAATCAAGCGAAAACACGTTACTGAATTCAAATGAGCTCTGACGATAGAGATGAATCAAACACTCCAATTAAGCCACACCACCAACCACTCTTAGCCTATTTTTAGAAGAAAAAATTATGTTTTTAATGGAAAGCACAAATATTGAGATTGGAATGAAAAAGTTTATTCCCTAAATTGATGATGAGAACTATATATATATATATATGTTACAAAAATCTGTCAAAGCTACCTGCTGGTAAATCACAGTGAGGTGTGGGCTGGATGGAACAGAAAGACCGATGCTGTCCTTAAAAACAATCAAAGCTAAATCGCCGCCCATCAAGAAGTGCCATTCGTCATGCCAAGAATGCCTGGAAGAAACCTAACGGCACTGTGATGTTTCAACTTAGCAATTGCTGCTTGTGTTTTCCCATGCTTTAGATCCAAATAGATACCAGTGATGATAGCATGGGGACTACTTGGTATCGCCGACAAGGCTTCCATTACAAAATGGTGAGCTTCATCAAACTCCCCCAACAATGCCAGATTAGCAGCATAATTTGCGCAAAAGAATCCTCGAGCCACTTCAGGACTCGGGAACACATATCCTTGAGATTCATCAGCATTCGGGTCTTCATTATCAGCCATTTTGTGTACCTCCCACTTTCCATAGTCCTCCCAGTCATAGGGAAGCTCGACATTGTTCCCGCCTGAGATATATCTCATTAAATGTTCAGCAGCCTCCTCCGGCTGATTTAGCATGCATAAAGCCTCTGATATATACATGGTTGCCAAAAATATGTATACCCTCGAACAATCAGGAATATTTGACAGAGATTTCGCCACTGATAAAGCTTTCAGGGGATTTCCTAGTGCCAACTCTACATAAGCCAAATCTGCAAGTGCAGCTTGCCGAATCATCTGGTTCTCACTCACACAGTTACACTCATAGTCAGTAATGGAGTTCTGCAGCACAGCACTCTGGCTGTTTACACTTTTTTCCTCTTTCATTTCGCCATTTGAATTGGGTTGAACTGTATTCGAAGCAAGACTGGATTCTTTGGGATCGCCAGTGACCGGTTTCTGGTCTGCAGAAACTATTTTTTCTGTTGATTCATTTTCCCCGGTAGGAGATGAACCCAGTCTGAAACATCTTTCCGCAGAGAAATCTAACAAATATAGGGCATTGACAAGACATTGACGGGCAAGAGACATTGATAGATCAGACTGCATGTCCTCATCTGGAATCAATTCATCCTCTCCAAAATATTCACACTGCCCGTTTGGTGAAACCCCATAATTTAGAGCAAGCTGCCTCCATTTTCCTTTTCCAATAACCTTAGCTCGGATGTCGGATTTGTCAAAAGCAGGGGAATTAGGTTTTATGAGTCCCTTTCCCAAGGCCATCAGACAACACTCAGCGACTCGCAGCCATAGAAGGGGTCTGTTGTAGAAAATTAGACTGGCCTTCTGAAAACACTTAACTGCATGGAAAGGTTTCCCACAGGCCAAGTAATGCGCGCCACAATTATATGATATGAGGAGGGATTTATCATACGACAAAGTCAGGAGTTTTGGAGGTTTTTCTTTCCTAGCATGTGAGCTGTTTTTTAGGGCTTTAGTAAAGAATACACCAGAAGTGTGATGCTTCCCGAGTTGGTGATAGATGCACCCAAGATTGTTGTAGTACATGCTGGGGAAACCAGTTTCTGCGCAGTTGCTTGATGCCATCAAAAGCTTGATTGCTTTCCGGTGGTTCCTACGAGCATATTCAAGCTGTGACTTCAAATATAGAGCCATGGGATAATCTTTACCACGAGCTAAGTTCATAGCTATCTTAACTTCTCGCTTAGCTGCTTTAAGGTTTCTTGTGAGAAGGAAAAACCGAACTTTGAACAGATGCAGCTTAAGCCTCAAATCGGCTACTGACGAGGACTCCTCTGTTTGGCTCCTTGAAAGGTCATTAAAACCTGCAACACCAGGTCCTTGGAGGTTCTGCCCACTAATATCAAGAGAAGATAGTAACTGTAATGACTGATCTTCTAGTGCTTCTTCAGATGAAGTTCTTGTTAAAGAATACTCCAACAATGTATTTGCATTTGCAACTGAATCGACATGAGAAGAATCAGAGAGAATTGAATTGCTTGGAAGTGAAGCAGGTTTTGATATGGATAAAGATTGGTGATGAGCTGACCGCCCATTTTCTCCAAGGTTGGTCAAGCTATTGATACAGAAAACCTTTTCCATGTAGCTGATTACATCCTGAAAAACAAAAAATAAAATAAAATAAAATAAAAAATCACATGAAAGTGATCAAAAGTGTAGAAACTAGAGGCGGGAAAGTGAAAACAAAACACTAAAAAATGCGCTCAGTAAATAACAAGTGAATTTTCAGTAAAACCTTGCTTCTAATAACAACTAAAATTTTGTGTTACAGGTAGGGCATGTTAGGCTTATCTAAGAACTACCTAGTACCGAAAGAAGAATATACACAGAATGTGAAACTAAGAGAATGAATTTTGTCTCAAAAGCTCAATATATTGAGTGCATTCTAGTCCCACCCACACATATTTGGTGTATTGGTTGCTGAATTCTGAAGCAAGATGCAATTAAAATAATAATAATCAGAACGATCATTTCAGAAAAAGCAATAAGTCTGACTTTGTATTGACAAACTTACAGCAGATCTTGACGCATGGTGTGAAAGTAATGCATTATCTACTAACAAAAGGCATATCCGAAGGGCCGTTCCCTGCATGTTACCTTGTAGAAGTCAGTAAATAGAACCTATCACGGTTAACGCTATATATGAGTTCTATTAATGTGTGATTGCTACCTCATCAAGTGGTTCAATGTTCTGATACAAGGAATCCAAATATGAGAATGATTTCTCATAGTCATGAAGGTGAAACCAAACAACAGCCTGCAATGAAATCAAAACTTGGAAAATAAGAAGAGAGAAATTTTTTATATATAGCCCATAGTACTAGCTACACCAGAATAAACAATACATACTATGTTGTACATAGCAACTGAGGTATCAAACTCATTTCCATAAACAGCTGAGGAATCAGAAAACTCATGAACAGCATTATTGGTACCCTTCAAGGCAACTATAGGCTTTTCTTCATCATTGTTAGTAACATCTGAGTGTTCTCTGGGAGCACGAGCAAGCTCTTCAATTTTTATCTGAATTAAGGAGAAAAGCATAAACGAAGCAGGAATGCAAAACAATGGCAAGCATCATGTAGACAGTAATCTATCCTAGCCACACGAGGTTCGCATTTGCAATTTACCCTGAAATTAATTATAGTAATATCCTATTCTAATTTATATCCTAGTAATTAAAGTTAATGATGATAATTATATCATACAAAATAAACATGCCTAAAAAGGTCTCTGTATAGTCTGGAAAGCACCACAGCACACAAGATCAAATCAAATACAAAACCTTTGAAATGGTTTTTCCTCTAAAAAGTTATATGCCTTAGAAATGAATGATGGATCCTATATTCCTGTTCCATAATGCCAAGACAGTGGTTTGCTACAGACACTCACTACAGCCTTCTAGTTCCACACTAAACGAAAGCACTTACCACTGACTGGAATTATTGCATTGTTTTCGGACATGTTGAGAGAGTACATGAATAGTTTGTATGGAGAAGGTTTGTAGGAAATGCATTTTGATTATGTTTGGGAAATAAATAATGTGATTATTTTCTGGGAATTTGATTTCATTTTTCGATAGAATTTATATTATATATAATTTTTCGTAAAAGAAACCCCTTGTTGTTAGTATTGTATCAGTATTCGATATCATTATATGCTGGAAATTATATCAGAGTTATACTTGGAAAAAATTACATTTATCTTAAGATAATGAAATGAAAGCTATAGATGCACCATATATTAGAGCATACAAGTAACCTTGTCAGAATCCTTGTTATCAGAAGAATGCTAAGCAGAGAGTATCTATCCTAACAAAAAGGCTTCAGCAAGCACAAAGGATCATCGAGAGAGAAGTAATGACACACCATGCAAAGTGTCTCCAAAACTAAGTAAAAACTAGATACGGTACAACAAAATATAGCAGAATCAAAGGATTTGTTCTCTTCACATTTTTTTCTAATGTTTTTACTGTTCAATCCTCGCAATTTCTCTTAAAGAACATCGCATCCAACAACCATTTTTTATGCAAAACATTACATCCAACAACTATTTCACCTCAAAAACATCAAAACGCAAAACACACACACACAATAATAATAATAATAATAATAATAATAATAATAATAATAATAATAATAAATTAATAATAAATAGAAAATAAAAGAAAAAAAGTTTGCCAAGTGAACAAACCCAAAGCATTCCATATAATATTAACCATAGATTGCATATTGACAATACAAGCCTAATCCATATTTCATATCATGTAACCTCACACCAATCAATAGAATATACTAGTTCCATAATTTATTGCAATCCCAAATAATGAACATCAATCCAGTTCCTGTGCTGAGCCATATTAGTTTGAACTATATATTGTTCGCAGTTTTGCATAATTCTTATGGGGTTCAACAGATTTGTCATTCAACATATTCCATCAAGTTCAATAGTTCAACAGTGTGGTGATGTTTTAAATTTGTTCCATAAATTTCCTATATGATTCAACAAATTTATTATGTCATTCAACATCACAGTTCTGAAACAAATTCAGCCATGACCCACTCCCCACGAATATAGATGAAAATCCTTCTTTATTTACTTATGTGAAACCACAATCTAGCAATATCCCATACACATCCTAACAATTCTCAATTCTCACGCTCTCAAGTTGCACAAAATTCAATGCCTTTTAGAATTACATCAACATCATCCTCACACTCGTTGAAAAAACCCTTCGCTACACTTATACCACTTGATGTACTTGGTTTTTGGTACAGAAGTGCAACAGTCATCAGACATCATAATGCTAGAAACAACAACCCAGGTTAGTAAATGTCAGGGTTTGGAATTAGAAATGAACACCTAATGAGCATCAGATTTTTAGTGGCTAGGAGAATTAGAGGAAATACATTAGACATGAGCTTAACTTCTATACAAATGATTAAAGATATGGCTAACTGTTAAAGATTCTGAAGTATAATTGAACATAAAATTAGGGAGAAATGTAATCATGGCCTCGTAAGCAGCACGTGTATGGAGATGATCATATGTTACAGTAGTCAACACTCTAAGGTCCTGGGCATTGCACTCACACATGCTTTGTGAACCCTCCAATTGTCCCTTTCGGCCTTTCCATAATCACACGTAAGTATCGTGTGCAGAAGTAAGACCATTAGTACAACAAGGGAGACACATGATCATTTCCAATCAACATTAATCAAAAACAAATTATAAAAGGTGCTATTTACAAGAATTAAAAACATTTTCCCCTAAACTTTATGCATCTTAGTAGCTTATGTTAATAAAACAATCCAACACAGTACCATTGCTAATACAAACGAGCTATACTTTCACTACTTTGCTTTGAATGCAACATTCTTATACATGCTTTGAATGCAAATGTTGTTCTATTTCATTCATAAACATTTGTGTATTTAGTTCATATAGGTTTTACCATGTTTTTGCTCATGCATTTTTCATCCTGTTTGGGTCAAGCATATTTCAATGGGTTCAATTTATATAACTTCTATGCCATTCAATTTTAAAGGCTGAAACAATTTTCTTATTTATATGAATGGATTAAAGCCTATAGTATGGTAAATTTATGGCTCTATTTGAAGATATATATATTTTCTAGTTGCTTTAGCATGCAACAACAGAATTGCCTATAAAGCACACTAATTGTCCATACAAGACATCACATCGAAAACTATTTCACTCATAAACCAAAATACAAACAAAAAACAAACACAAAGTAGGCAAACCCTATGCGAGCATATTAATATTTGTAATTATCTAATGAATAAAATGAATTTCAACTATGTACAATGTGGGATGATCTGATTGAACTTTCTAGGATTGAAATTCACAAGCAAGTATTGCATTCGAACTCTAGGAAAAATTAATGGCGAATTTAATTAATTCAAGATCAATATTGTGATCCATCAAGCACCTGTAGCTAAAATTGGTTGAAGTGCTGAAAAGTACTTCAGAATTTATAATTAGGGAAAAATGTGTAAACCCACAGAAGATAGAACAAAATTAAGTTTAAAACAAAAAATAAGCAAGTTCAGCCAGGGCTTTCTTTCAAGAGAAACACTCCAAAGTAGATACACCATCCAATTCATGATGAAGTATCTAATGCAATTCTCATCATGTTTGGGAAAAGCACAACTTTCATCCCATTCAATTTTAGAGGCTTAAACACTTGATTAATTTAATTTTACTAGCACTGCATGACGATAACCCTTTTCCTAAGGTAATCTCACCCAGGAGTACAAAGTGAAGACGAAAGTGGATGACTACTTTCCTGCTTGCTTCTTTACCCTATGAGATTATACAGCCTTCTTACATTTATTGTTCTCTTCATCTTGCTCTATCTTTTACATGAAAAAAAAAAAAAAAAAATTCTCAAGCAAGACACTTATGATATCTTATATTCCTCTATGAGATTCCAGTTGACTTAGACAAAATTGAGTCTGATTTGCTATATTACATCATAGGACAAGAATCTCAAAAGAGGTCTTCCAAAAGAGGAAAAGGGCATTCCCTACATAAGCATCCGAGAGAACTCCAGACAAGTACAGGGATGCTGAGCATACAAGAAGCCATGAAAACCTCTTAGCTGTCATGACCTAGAATCTTTTATGGACTCACAATGAAATCAAATGTTTTACTTTTTACTAAATAGATACCGCATAGATGTAAATAGGGCTAGATTAGGATATTATTAATAGATTTCTTTACATTTGGATAGACTCCTAATTGCCTGTATACATATGTGTGTAACCTCACATTGTGGAATACAAAACTTATATTTACATGGTATCAAAGCCATTTGATTTTAATCACCAAACACAAATACGTCAAAATTCAAAATCTAATTAGGGTTTGTTCTTTTACCATTTCAAATCAAAATCAATACTATTCACTTACACGGTTTCCAATAAAATAAACTACTTCTCACAAAACATCACATCTAAATACTATTTAAACAAAAACTCAAATTAACACCCTATTTTAAATCAATTTCAAACCACAAACCAACAAGCCCTAATGTTATGTTTATTTGGAGAATTTTTAAAGATTTCTACTATTCATTAAAAATTGTTTCCTTAGAAATAACTATCAAATCAAAACTCTATTTTTATTTTTTATATTATTCTAAAAATTAATTCTACATTAAAACATCAACACTTTTTAATATCATATCATACAACCATTCGAATTCAAAATTTTTACTATTCAAAACTCAAACCCAAAATCCAAACCTCCAAATACATGCACCCTAGATTACAATGGAGTACGTTGATTAGGTAATTGAGTAGGTGGGGTTTCTCTATTAAGGCATTAATTTTGGATCTGTGTTATCACACCGATTGCTTCAATGATTCAATCCAATCGAAGTCTTGCCTCTCCTCACCGCCATTGCCAGCCAGCCTCCAACCACCCAGCACATGAATCCCATGCATGCCTCTCACATACCCGCTTCCAATATTTTGCTATATTTATTGATGATTTTAATGTGTCACTTGGTTTATATAATGAAAAATTGTTCTTTCAAGAATTTTCACTTCGCTGCCAAAATGCAAACTTAAATTTGTGAGTATATCATTACCTCCCATTGTAACATTGCCAAAGAATAGTTATCTTCTCGATTTCAATAATTTTATGCTTGACCGCGGCATTCTTTTATGACTATTCTAGAGCAAACTACTCGACCCCATGATGGCGTTGTTGAATGAAAGTACTATGACTTTGAAAGATGCCCCCCACTTCTCTTCTAGATGAATGCTTTTTTCAAAGAATTTTGGGTTAACAGTGCCTATTGCCTGATTTTGATAAATTGTATGCCTTCCACAGCTCTTGATGGAGATATTCCATTCTCTCTATTGTTCCCTCATAAACTGTTTTCCCTAAGGCTCCTAAGTGCATCTTTCTTGGCTATAGTAGTTCGTAGAAAGGGTATTGGTGTTTCTCCGCTGCACTAAACTGCTACATTGTCTCTCACCAAGTCTATTTTCATGCTTATCACTTCATCTCACAACCTTGCGAAAGAATTGGATCATTTCCCCTACCATATGTTTAAGTCATTTCGGGTTCTATTTGTTCCCCACCTCCATCTTCAACTATTAAGTTCTACACCCGATGCCGTAATCCAACTATAGCAACTGATACCTTTACCAAATGCTTTGACATGTGATTCTCCACTTTTGAATTCTCAACCCACACAATCAACTCCCAATCTCTTCATAGCCCTTTATAAAGGTAAAGTATATGTGCAATTATCCTACTGGATCTGTTCAGTCAATATTTCCAAATCTGTTGGGAGAACTTTGGCACATGACCCTTGGTGTGCCACTGGCCAGCTATAATAGAGAGAATGAATGACCTTAAATCTTAATCATAATTATACTTGGGACTTTGGTGGACTTACCAGTTACCCTATGATATTAAGAATGACTTTCTTCATGAAGAGGTTTATAAGTTCGAAAGAGAGTAAAAATTAGTCCCTGATAATAAATAAACATCATTATCTATGCAGCACATAGAATAATCACTTGATTATTTACAAAATATATCATCCATAATACATGTGAGTTCAAAAGCATACATGTACAAACCTTTATGTTTTCAAGATCTTCAGTAAGCTTTTTAGGATCTGAACAGCCATCTCCAACATTCTCAGCAATAATTATATTATGACGAACCTAAAATACAACAAGGAATGATACAAAAGAACATTAAATGGAAACATCACATCAATATAATGGAGCTCTAGCTTCTATGATTACAAACATATAAAAATAAACAAACGAAAAGACTGAATTTAATCAACCTTGTTAAACTAATGTTATTTCTGGTTGTAGGCTTCCCTTAGGTTTCCCACTATTTATTAATGATCCTCCAAAAAATATCAAGTCAAACACTTCTATAGATATATATATATACTTTCAAAACCCACGTCAACACCTATTTATACATATCAAACAACTATTCCAATTTAATATTTGATTATTCCCAACCTCAATCCCAACTCCCAAACCAAAATCCAAACCCATAGTCCCATCAATGATTTCAAGCAACCCTTCATTACTACATTCATCGAGGCTTTTGCAGACATGAGCAAAGTTAGACTTCAATTAATCCCATGTGCAAAGGGTTCCTAAGCCAGCACATCAGACCTAAGATGCAGACCTCAGTCACTTGAACATATTGTAACAAAACAAATACAGACTAATCTTGAGCTAAACAACAAATACCCAAAGTAAGAGAATGCAGATCAGATTTTTAATCTCTCAAATGTGTAAAATGTTGTATAGTTTAGAATGCCTGTTAATTATTTTAGAATTCAGCCATTTCCCAGCCATTCAATTGGTAAAAACCCCAGAATTAAAGTAATGCTCAGCCACAATCCTCCAAAAGTTGCCTAATTTCAGTACTTTACAGACTAAACGAGAATGAAAAATGGGGTGACTTTCCCATCAACATAAGAGGTGCAGGGACCAGTTCTTTCTAGGGTTGGCCAATATTTATGTACAATGTCAATGTTTAGGAAAAAGGTTAAACTTGATGCATTGGCTAATGGTCAACAGATATTCAGGTAATGTGGCAGCAAATATTGGTAAATAAAATTATTTTTTATGCATTCTATGGTAAAGTATAGTCTCTGCTTTAATCTTCAATGCATAAAAAAACCATAGCGGAAATACTTGTTTTTACTCCCCTTAGGGGATAAGGAGATGTCTAGGGACCACAGCATGCAGATTACCCGGTTTACCATTAACGTGCAGTATCAAGAAAAAAAAAAATATATAGTGTACCAAACATAATAACTTAACAAGTGTGCTATGTACCAATGCATTTGCTATGATCAATGATTAAGCCATTTAGGAAAGCAAAAGAAATCACCTAAATATATGAACAGAAAGGGCGCAACTGTTCTAACATGAACCAAGTTGTCAATTGCATATGAGCTCACTTATGCAATGGACCCTAACAAAACTTAACTATGCAACCAATTCCATCTGCGGCAACTTTTGAAACATCATAAAAGCAGACCGACCACATATACCAGAAACAACCTTGTGACTTTCTTTCAATAAACTCATTTCAAGCTTACCGCAGTACATGCATTACACAAACATAATCAACTTCAACTCCCAAGACCATACCACTAAAACGTAACCCACCATGAACCAATGCTTCTAAGTTTAACACGCAATCATAACAAAGAAACAAATACATACCCTCGGATCGTCCTTCTTCTGCAACAGCCGATTCAATATGCCCAAACAATCGACAAACTTCCCAGCCTGAAAGAGCAAAGCAGCCTCCTTTGCCAACCCCGCTGTAACAGAAAAAGCAGCTTCGTCCCCTAACGTCCCCACCGCCGCCGTCGACCCATCTCTTGGCAATGACGAAGACACCGAATCCATCCGCTCACAGGTCCAAAAAAGGAATTATAATGAAAGTAGAAAATAAGAAACCCTCTAGCCTGGCAAAACCCCTCGAACACTAACTGCTTGACTTCAACTTCTCGTTCGAATCTGCAAATGCATTCAATTGAAGCCCCAATCAACGCCACAGCAATAAATCCTAAACCCTAGCAACACAAATACAAGCCTACGTGGTCTCGAAGCAGACCGAGACAACACACGCCCGATTGACCATTTGTTCTAGAGCCCAGCAGGCTGGGATTGCGATTCGTCGATGCAGAGAAAGAGGGCGCTACAAAATGAGAGAGAAATAGTAAAAATCTGGAGACGAGGAGGTGTAACGTCGACGGAAAATGGAGCGGGCAGTGATTGCCTGGAGTAGGGTGTACCTATATCGTGTGAGATTAATTTGTGACCGTTGGATCGTAAGACGTTCTGCGATGTACATTGTGCTTGTATTATTATTATTAGTAGTAACAACATTATGTTCTTAGAGTAACAACAATAAGACACGGTTAAATTTTTCTTCTAAATGTCACGTGTAATAGGTGTGTTCAAAACTAAAATATTCATTCAGAAAAAATAAAATAAACATTAAACAGTGGCTTTATTATTGCTATTTGAAAGCTAATCACAATATTTCTCTCAAAGATCCGATCACCAGCGACGAAAGGTCGCGTCCAACCAAGCCGGTCGAATTCCCGTAAGAGAAAATACTAATTTTTACTCACTTTTGTCTTTTTTTTATTTTTCTGTTTCTCCGATAAATCAATTTTAAACTTGATTTTGTCTTTGAAGGCCGGATTTCTTGTGCTCATTCTCTAACCGTTTCTAGCTGAACTTGAGGTCCGGAGAAGAGGTCCAGTATGAGGTAAAGTGTAAGTTTGTAGAAATTGAAATGATTTCCCATTTGGTTTACAATTCTTCTGAGGAGAAGCGATTGTTAGTCCAGATTTTGAGTTGCCATTTTTTGGAATCTATTTGTTTACAAGATTTACAATTAAGGTTGTCGTTGGTTAATCTTGCGAACTATTTTTTCTAAGCCGTTAGATTCACATGGATATGCAGTTTTCCAATTATGTTGCAATTCCTACAAAATCTACACTTCTTATGTATTTTAGTGTGGGAAGTTGGTGTGCTTTGGTTTGCAAAAAATAAAACTATGCCGATGATAGTCCATGGTACTTTTTATAGAAAATTGGTTTTGGTAATTAGTGTGGGAAATTTGTGTTTGGTCCCAAATACATGAAGAACTTTGACAAAAATTTCGTATCGTAATGCATTTTTATAAGTTTTAAGGTTGTGCTATTCTTAGTTCATATCAATTTTAATCTTATTTCATATGTATTTATTTTGGCAAATTTACATATATACCACTTGAATGGCATCAATATATTATTGTGGTAGAAAATGTGTCATTAAGATATCAAAAAACAAAATAAATCCAAGAAAAAAGTATTTCAAGTGCGAATCTTGTAGCAATTAGTTAGCTTGGGCCGAAGATGGGCTCGAAACCCAAACCGAAATTTTTATACAAAAAATGAACAATATTCTTACACTAGCGAGAGTAGTGCAACTTCAGCACATCCACACAAAAGTAATGAAAGTTGGTGTTCATGTTCCTACAACAAGAAGAAATATTGAATTGAGGAAATCTCCATGTTATACTACATGATGGTCTTAAATAATGCAATATGTATGGTAATACTTGTGTGTTTGTTCTTAGTTTGACAGGACCAACATCTTGCAAGAATTGTTTGTATTGTAGGAAAGTATTTTAGTGTGTTGTTTGAGATTCTCTATATTTATTTTTATTGAATACTCTTCTAGTTGTGTGCGTAATCAAGAACTACTAGTTGTGTATGTAATATAACATCTCCTAGTTTGTGTTAATATTGATGTTATTATTGTTGTGGAATTATTGGGTTTATTCACTCAACATTTTTACCGGAACAATTCTCAATGAATATTAAAAAAATATAATTTATACATATAGTAACACAATATATATTTTATTAACTCAAACTATTGTGGACTTTCTGGTTGAGCATCCGGAAATGGTCCAGGCTGCTCCCATGGAATATGTTAAGTTGAAACCATGGCTCGTTATAGTACCGGAGGAGCAACATGTGCTGGGTCGTGATAATCAGCCTTAGAGGGGAAGTGTGGTGCTTTGCCACTAGCTGAATATGGAGATCTTTTACCGACTCTATGCTTTCTTTTCAAGAAAAGACACCAGGATGTGCTAATTTGCGGAGATTTTTTTAGCTCAATATCCGCCAACCACTGAAGAGTTTAAATGTAAAGAACCCTAACTTTAGAACCTACTTTGAAAGGTCCATGAGCTCCTCTAGAAGCTTGCCAATGTGACTTTGAAAGATATCCCTAGTGAATGAAATATGGAGGCAAATAATCTTGTGCATAGGCATCCAAAATTAAAAAGAAAAAGCTTATCCAGGAGCATGAATGTCTACAGATGGGAAAATAGATAGATTGGGAAATAGAGTTAGTCAAAACTTTGGATGATCCGAGACGGGTGGTTCAAAGCATATGTGTGAGCAACTTCGTAAATACATGACTATTGACAGAGAGTTCAAGAATAAAAAGACGGATAGAACATTGGCCCAATATTTGGGGAAAGATGACATCATGAAAGTAATGGTGGAGGTACACGAGGGCATTGAAGGTACCCACGGGACCAGATCATCCATGAGATGGATAATCCTCCGTTACAAGTACTTTGACCAAAATCTCACAAGACTATGTGGACTATTCCAAAGGATGTCCCGCTTGTCAAATGTTACGGCCCCCTGTGGCAAGTCCCAGTTGAGAGTTACATTCCATCATCAAATCGTGACCCTTCAGAGGATGGATGATGGATATCATCGATAAAATCTACCCATCGTCTTCCAAGGGGCACATTTTCATTCTCGTTGCAACTGACTATTTCACAAAGCGGATGGAAGTTGTCCTATTGGCCCATGTGCAATAGAGCCATGTCATCCATTTTATTAAAAATAATATTATCCATCGGTTTGTTTCCCCCAAGACAATCACAATGACCAAGGTACTGTGTTTACAAGCACCAAGGTCAAAGTTTTCACATCCCAATATAAAACTCAGCCGGTACATTCCTCCATTTATTACCACAGGCTAACGGACAAGTTGAGACAACAAACAAAATGCCGATTTTGATAAAAAAAAAATAAAAAATTGGGGGACAACCTGAGAGGATGACACGATACATTGGATGAGGCACTATGGGCTTATCAAAATGTAAAATCCCCCATAACTAGTAGTACCTTGTACAAGCTCACTTATGGACAAGGGGTCATGTTGCAATTGGAAATTACAGTACCTTATATCATGATTTTGAAGCAAAATGAGATGCCTATTGATGAACACAATCAGATGTTGCTCCAGGAGCTAAAGTCCTTGCCGGAAGAACGATTGTAAGCTTTGAAATAGATCCGCCCTTTGAAGAAGAATGCCAAGTGAACATTTCATCAACATGTGTGGCTGCAAGCATTCTGAGAAGACGATATGGGTTGGAAAGCGGTGCTCTATAAGGTCCTAAAGATCTAAGATTCTGAAAATGGTCCTCCAATTGGAAAGGGTCATATATCATTTTGGCTAAGTCATCGAACAGTGCCTATAAACTCATGGAACTCGAAGAGGTAGAAGCTGAAGACATTTATTAACATGAAATATCTAAAAAAATTCTACACATCTATGTGGGAGCTGAGGACGACTCAGGACATTGGCAAAAGGAAACAGAGCTGCAATACATTTTCCCAACACTAACCGACCAATATCTAGAAGTCAGCCATGAGCCTTGTTAAAATTTGTATGGATTGGGGAAAAACCTGATCCGTTGCTCCCAAGGGAAACAATACAACAATATGAAAAGAACTTGTTCTGGTGGCCATTCATGGCAACGTCAAAATTAAGTTCAATTTGAAGGAAAGGAAAACTATGATCAAATCATTTTTGAAAATTATCCATAAGAGTGCCCTCCGAGTTGTTTGTTTGGCATTATGAAACAAAAATACCTGCGCTATAAGTTAAATTTTGCTCAAATATTTTGTGGGAGGCATTTGTTTCCCAATAAAAATAATTTGTCACCATCCGGCTCAGGAAGTAAGGCCCAAATTAATCCTAAAAAGCCCAAGACAAGTCCAAATGATGAGATCCATCAAAGATTTAGTCAAAAAATTCCATTCACGATTGCAAAGAGGTTGAGGAAAATTAGGGGGTGACCTCACTTGAGATAAAGGTGGAAAAGATGGGAAGGTGCCTATAAACTATTGATATAAATTGAAAGGAGAAAACAAAAACAATCTATCTAAGAAAAACATCCATGTCATTTATCCCTTTTATTTTTATCACTTTTGTTGCATTATTTTCTACTTGTTTTCATGTTATTTTCTGATTTTTGTTGCTATATTCTTGCATATTTGAATTTTCAGTTCATTATTCCATTTTTCCCTTCATCCAATTTGGTGCAAAGTCATCCACTTAAGGCTAATTTCCGCTTCATACATTGTGATATTTTCATTTCGAATTTATTGCATTTTTGTTATTGATTGTGGAACCCGAATATTGTCAATTTCGACATGTATAAATCCATTGGGTCGTATCAACAGACTTTTTTTGCGATAACAGATTATTATTTTTTCTTTAGTAAAACATTAGCTGACCCATAACAAATTATTTGCTCTCTTTATATAAATATATTTTTACTGCAATATTAAAAGATAATAATTCCTCTATCCCAAAAGAGTTTTCTTATATTTCTATTTTCGTCTATAAAAAAAACAATTATCTCATTTATTTATTTAGTAACTATAGTCCCCATTATATAACAAAATTACCCCTACTTTTTTTTTTTATAAAATTTACATAATGCCACTACAATTATCACTTTAATTTAATTTTTCAACCCTTAGCAAGTGAATTTCAGTCACTTACATTCTATTTTATACCAATTTTTAATTAAATACTATTATTTCTTAAATTCCGTACCCACTCCCAATAAGACATATCTTTTGAGACGGAGAGAGCATGTGATGTTAATACAATAATTTTGCATTTTTAGATAATATGACTATGTTTTTTATAACATAATTGTGTGATTTATATATATATACACTACAAGAAAATATCATTTTTGTAACGAGATTTTTTCGTCTTTAAATTCACTTTTTCCGTTACTAATGATATTAGAGACAGCATTAATGATGGAATTACATTAGCTACGTGATCTTTAGGGACGGAATTCCGTTACAAATAAACTATTTTTTTGTAGTGATATATATAATAAAATGTATGCTTGGTATAATA